ATGCTACGTCACTCTGTCAACTGAACGGCGGGTAGTCCAGGCCTCATGGTCAGGACAAATACAAAATGCGCCAAACGCCTATCTCTACAAAACACCTATCTCAACAGGCGGTACAGGGCACTTGAAACAGGACGCGTCCCTCAAATGTAAGAATCTAAAAACAGAATATTATTTAACCATGAAAGTCGATAATGTGAAGGTACACCCTTAAAGAACACACACACACACACACACACACACACACACACACACACACACACACACACACACACACACACACACACACACACACACACACACATTTTTCCTTTGCACATCCTCTCTTTCACACACATCTGTGCACATAACCATTATAATAATAATAATAATATGCTTGCACTCACAGTCTGGCTTGCTGTTGTTTCGTGCGGCATCCTACTTTGTTTTGATTTTGTTTGTTTGTTTGTTTGTTAGTTTGTTTATTTGTTTGTTTGTCTTGTTTTGCCTTTGTTTTTTAAGGGTTTTTTCTACTCTGGTGTACTCCCTCTGGTGTTCTGTATTGAAATCGCAAATGTGGCTCCCTGAAGTAGGAAAAACGGCCACATACTACGTAAAAATCAGAGCTTCTGAGTCTCCTGTCCTTCTGTCCTCTTTTAATTTATTGGAACGAGCCGGTTCAGTGTCTTTGCTTTGGGAATAAACTACACATGTGCCTTACAAAATAGTCCTTCCAACATTTATATAATCAGATCATTAATTATCCTAACCCTTTCCTCACCAGGCATGGAACCCGGTGCGCTGGAGAAGTTTCAATGGTCGCCAACAACGATAAATGTGGAACGGGCATTGCTTTCGACTCTAAAATTGGAGGTATAGTATTGAATTTCACATCTTGTCATTGTTCAATACTTGTGAAATGTCTGTGCGAGAGCCCATGCACTTCAAATTTTCTGTTCCATCGGCTATACCAACAACAGCATTTGTAATACCCCCCCCCCCAAAAAAAAGCAATACAGTTTGGACCATTTTGAGGTGGGCATCTTCAATCCTTCTTGGGAGGCCCAAAGCAAGCTCAGCGGAATGCTATATCCAAATGGGGAGAAAACATTTCGATAGATTAGATCTAGACTCTCCGCCCAACCTCCCCCCACCCAAAAAAAAAAATTCCCCCACTCCCCGCCCACATGAACACACCAATCGCTGAGGTATAAGTATTATTAGTTTATCATTATTATTATTATTATTATTATCATCATCATCATCATCATCATCATCATCATCATCATCATCATCATCATCATCATCATCATCATCATCACAATAAAGCAGCTTGTTCATTATTATGATGGCGATCCCAGGGAGGTTTTCATCTTTTTATATGGTTCACAACCAAACCCAAAGTATGTTCTTCTGTTCCTTCCATCCAGGCGTTCGTATGCTGGACGGTCACGTAACTGACCGTTTGGAGGGTGACGCCATCTGCTTCAATCGCCACCATGTAGACATTTACTCGGCCAGCTGGGGGCCCAACGATGACGGGAGGACCACTGAGGGACCAGGTGTCATGGCCAGGAAAGCTTTCGATTTGGGAATCAAAGAGGTACTCCCAATTACAGTCAAAATTGTCCTAGATGTTCGTTCATTGTCGAGGAGAAAAGTGGTTTTCTTTGACTGGTGGATGTTTTGGACAGTATCGTTAATGTCTTTGAAAAAAACGTAAGGGGGGAGTGGGAAGGGGTCGTTTGTACAGGTGATTGTCTTAGACAAGTGGCCCTTAGAGCAGGTTCTACTGTTGAGGGACATTTCGACCGAGTGCGACAGAATTTGATTGAGACCTTCAAAACAATTAATGCGCTTGTCTTTCACGGTCGCGGGCACAAACGATCAGATGTGTCCAGCGTGGGCGCGTAATACGGTAGGGGACGGTGCAGATTTGGAGAAGCTGATACTGATTGATCTGGAAAGCTATACTATGCCTGAAGGATTCAAGAACCTCTAAACACAACAACCGCGATGTGCGGTAATCGGCGCTTGAAACCGTTAGGGAAGGAAATTGCTGTGTTGTGAACTGTATGCTTTTGTGTTAATACAATACACCCTGCGCCGGTCAAAGTTTTTAATTCCTGTCAAATTTGACGCACAAAAAAAGGTTGAGCCGTCATTAATCGACCCGACCCGATAGGATCCGATTACCAGATCCGATGTACAATAGGCACCTGGAGTGAAGCTTAGCTTTTAGGTATGCCTGCGCAAGAACGGCTTAAAGATTATTTTACTTGCTTAGGCTACGTAATCTGGTGTCACTTGAAATCTCAGTAAAATCCTGAGGTTTTAAAGGAATTTTGACTTCTAATGACGATGCAACACGCTTTCAACTGCAACTTCAAAATAAAGTGACTTTATCTAGGTCAGTAGATCTATAAGTTCAGAGTTTTGATCAAAGTCTGAGAGTATCTTGAAATATATAATTTAAGAATTTAACTGTTTTGATAAAAATCCTATTTTTAAGCATTAGCAATATACTACAGAATCGTTATAATTTTTTCTCAGGGCAGAGACGGCAAAGGCGCCCTCTATGTGTGGGCTTCTGGCAATGGTGGTCGTATCGGCGACAACTGCAACTCCGACGGCTACACCTCCAGCATCTACACCATGAGCATCAGCAGCGCCTCACAGGTCAGTAGTTGCTAAGACGTGCTGGGCATCATAGCTCAACCCACAAACGATTTCTGAGTTCACAGGGTGTTATTTCGTTTTTAATTAATTTTGTTTTGGGGGGGGGGTTGCATCCATCCATCCATCCATCCATCCATCCATCCATCCATCCATCCATCCATCCAT